GTGTGTGTGTGTGTGTGTGTGTGTGTGTGTGTGTGTGTGTGTGTGTGTGTGTGTGTGTGTGTGTGTGTGTGTGTGTGTGTGTGTGTGTGTGTGTGTGTGGTGTGTGTGTGTGTGTGGTGTGTGTGTGTGTGTGGGTGTGTGTGGGTGGGTGTGTGTGGGTGTTTGTTTGTTAAATTCTTAAGCATACCGTGACATGAGGCAACACGCGCAAACGTGCACGTGAGGCAATGTTGCATTTGCTGATATCATCCAACTTGATGTCCTTACCAGCCGCGACGCAACAGATGTGCCCGACGACCCGCCAAAGCCAACGCCCTGTCAGAGACGTGAGTGTTCAAAACATATCGTGTGTTAAGCAGTCTACTGGCACAGGTGGATCTCGCGACATGACCACTGAAACATGGCGTCACAATTCAACACCACCACATGCCAACGCATGCACAACGCGATCAAAAAAACAAAGAAAAAAAGCACCACGATCAACACTATCATCAGCACCACCACTACCACCATCACCACCAGCAGCACATCATCAACACCACCATCAGGACACAACCCTCCCCCCCCCCTCCACTCCAACATCAGTATCATCAAGCCCCCACCTTGGTCCAGGCTGTCTTCCTGCCCTTGTGTGTGACCTGTGATGACCGGGCATATGAGCGGCGCTTGCGGACTTGTCGCCCCTTGACCGTCTTGGCAAGCGTGGTCAGCAGTGCCTGAAGCCGCGGCAGTGACAGCGCCTTAACAGCATGCCGTCGACCCTGGTGGCGATAGTGGTGGTGGCAAACGGTGGTGGTGTTAGCGCGTGAGTTGGTGATCATATTGGTGGTGTTGATACGATGGTTGATGTGGTGGTAGTGTTCAAGAGGGAAAAAATCCAATAAGCACACAAGCACGCACTGCAAGCCACCAAGACCACCACCACCCTACAGCGCAATCGCAACGAACGTGTCTCTGGAGCATCTCGACCGCTGCGTGTGCCATCTCGACGCAAGTTGACATTGGCAGATGCTTCAGCAGCAGCGACGCTGGCACATATGCGCTGCAAGCCGGGCACACTGTCAAACGCACGCAAAAACGAATAAGAAGATGAAAGCCACGCACAGCCGTGAGAGATGGCGAGACGAGCCCGCGTCCACGCCGTGGCTGAACACACACACACATGCACGCACATCTACAAGCATTCCTCACGCGCCACACCCACTCACACGCCCATGCACGCACATCCACACACACACACATCCACACACACACACACATCCACACACGCGCACCTTTGGAGCTGTCATTGCTTTGCTTTGTGACATGCTCTGTCCACTGCTTGATACTGCACATGTTGTGACAGCAGGGCAATAGCATGGCACGCCGCCGCCGGATCAGCTTCTTAGACAAGCAACACAGCACATTCTCCGACTCGTCCGCAGCAGATGCTGCCGTTGTTGTGGCTGCTGCTGATGTGGTGGGCTGTATGTGTGGATACACCGGCACGCGTGCCCACATGATTGTGCACGAGTGAGTACGTGCCAGGCTGCGTGAAGTCTCAGCCGTCAGACGGCAGATGGCGCCAAGGGAAAGTGCTCCCACACATGCACTTTGAACATGGACAAGCAAGCGCAACCGCCCGTTGGAGCACAACACGCAACACGCAACACACAGCACACAGCACAACGCAACGCAACAAGAGACAAACTACACAACACACACACACACACACACACACACACACCATACACCACAATACACAACACGCCAGGTCATGGGATCTGCATGGACGCACCTCGAGATCAAGCACCTCTGGCAGGTCGTCATCCTGTGGTTGCAGCGGTTGTGGCTTGACTGCAGGAGGCTGCTGCTGGCCATCCTGTGGCGGTTGTTGCTGGGTGGCTTGCGCCTGTGCGTGATCACCACCACTGCCATCATCATTGCCATTGACGTCGTCGTCTTGGTCGTCGTCGCCGATGAGCACAAGCGAGTCAGGGTCATCACCACCAGCGTCATCAGCGGGCTGCCCTTGAGTGGCAACGTCGCTCTCGTCCTCGTCATCCAGCACAACCACGAGATCGTCATCCTCCTCAACGTTTGTGGCCATGCTGCCTCCTGCTGTGATTCGTGGCCTGTGCGTTTCGGTTCAAAGTCTCTCCTCCTCCTCCAACGTCCTTCCTGCTGCTCCTCCTGCTGCTGTTGCTTCCTCTGCGGTGCCTTGCGCGCGCGTTCGTGTTCCTCTTGCGGTGTGTGTGTGTGTGTGTGTGTGTGTGTGTTTGTGTGTGTGTGTTGTGTCTGTTCGCTCTCGTTTCGTCCTTCGTCTCTCTGCTTTGGCGCCTTTGTGATGTTGCTGTTCTTGAATATTTTTATATGTCGTGTGTCGCAGATACATCCAAAAGCAGGATCAACCTGATTTGATATTTTGCTGACGCCAGCAAATTCGTTGGAAAGATCGGAAAACGGTGTTTTCGACGCGGAAAACATGACGCCGTTGCCCGCGGGAAGTTTGAACAACCGTTGCAACCGAAACCACCGTTACACGCTCTGCTGGTCGCTTGTGCGGTTGCACAAAAGCACTTTCCCCACTCTCCGTCCTTCCGCACAATCACCGCACACACAAGCGCACGCACTCATCAGTCAGCTCAGCCTCTCTCTCCCCCCTCTCGCTCGCTCGCGTGCTTGCACGAAAGCAAGCAAGCAGGCAGTCAGACACAACAACAGCCCCGCCGTCCTCTTGTGTGCCCCCCACCTCTGTCTGCTCCGTTCGGTTGCGTTGTTCTTCGCTTCGCACTCCTTCACTTCCCAGCTTGCGCCCCTTGAGCATTCGACAAAGCAAACCGCGCGTGCAGTCCACCCAGACTTTCCAACGGAAATCCCCAACAGCAACCAAGACAAGCAAGCAAGCGCACCCACCGCCACCCAAGACACCAGTCACTTCACCCATTAGCATCAACAAGCAAGAGCGAGAACAACAACAGCCCACAACCCACAACAACAACAACCACAACAAGCACACCTCGGACGGTGTCGATCACAGCCACAGAGCAACTTCACCCTCCGTCTCTCTCACTTGAACATCCACATCAACAAACCAACGACTGCAAGTCTTTGATCGTCTCTTCTTCTCCTCAACAATCCCTCCTCACCCCCACACCACTTCTTCTTCTTCTCCTTCTTCCTCCTCACGAGTTTCGACCAACACATCAGCAGCCACCATGTCAGACCCGCTTTCTCCATCGTAAGTGTCACCACCAATTGCCGCTTCCTTGACCGCATGTTGTGTTCTCTTCTTGTCCACGCCTGTCAATCCATCAGCCTGTATCTCGTCTTGTTTGCCCATCGTCGTGCCAGTATGTCTTGAGAACACACTCAACCTATCCTCATGCCTTCCCTTCCGTCCACACATATCCTTCCCTCACACCACATCGCCCGCGCAACACCTGCTTGCTTGGTATCATCCTGTGCATGTTCTTTTCATCCTCAACAGGCGCGTCGCAGACTCCATGTTGCGAAGCGGCAACACACCTGGCCGTACCCCAAAGCCTGGCCGCCATATGCTCTTCACGCCCCCGCGGCAGTTCACCCGCTTCAACCCCAACGATCCACTCTTCCAGTCGGAGTTTACCGCGACGGCCTCCACGCTCCTCTCTGGCCTTGATGCCGACATCAGCGGCATGGAAAGCATGGTGGTGCGTTGATCGTGCTGGTACCCCCGTGCGCTCCTGCCATCTTGTTGTTGTTGTTGTTGTTGTTGTTGTTGTTGTTGTTGTTGTTGTTGTTGCTGTTGCTGTTGCTGTTGTTGTTGCTGTTGTTGTTGTCGTCGTCGTCGTCGTGGTTCTTATTGTTGTTGTCGTCGTTGTGGTATTTTATGTTGCATGCTCTCCCCGCCAACCCACCCTCCTTGATGTATGCATCAACCCCCCCCCCCCTCTTCCCCATCCCTCAACGCGCTATTTTCCATTCCTTTTCGCTTGCTTGTGCCGTGCTGTTGCTTTGTGCTAACGATTGCTCACTTGCATTCTCGGTATGAACACATGATGCTGCGCAGCTGGACTCGTCCATGATTATGTCTCCCTCAGGCCAGTATGTGCTCTCTCCGCCACGCCCTGGCCAGTTTACGCTTGAAGGTGGCCTGACTGCCTTCCCAACCACAGCGACACCCAAGTTCAAGTCCCCGTCGCTCAAGCCATTCCCTGTCAACAGCCCCTTTGCCATGATGTCAAGCCCTGGCAACGCATACGCCTGCCACACTGCAGACATTCTCAGAGGCAGCGGTGCCAAAAAGAAGGTGGGGCATGCCTTTGCTCTTGCTTGAACTCGCGTGCACGATGCGTGCATGCATGTATGTATGTAACACGACGGTTGAGACGCACACACGCGCGCACGCACACCCACACACACACACACACTCTCTCTCGCTCTTATTGTGTCACTCACGGAAGTTGCGTGTTCGTTTCTCTTGTGCTTTGTTTCATTGCGTGCAGCACTCGAAGCGTCGCCTGCTGGACGACAGCACCGTGAGCGACACATCTGCGCTCGACATGAGCTCGTCCTCCGCCATGTCCCAGGGCGACCACGACACCTCTGTCAACGGGTTTGCCACCTCATCGCCGCTGGGCAGGTCCGCCACCGCTGACGTGCAGGTGGTGCAAGACACATCCCAGACGACTGCCGCTCCGACGTCTACAGCGGCCACAACAGCTGTGATGATGGTGCCACACAGCATGGTGGTGAACGGACAGGCGTTTGTCCCACAATCTCAAGTCATGCAGCAGCCGCAGCAGCAGCAGCAGCAGTCACACCACCAGCAGCATCACGTGTTTACTGCAACGCAGGCTGGGCATACGGTGCAGCAGGAAGGCCAAGTGCTTCATGTGCCCGCGCCGCAGCCCACACAGCAGCAGCAACAGCAGCAGCAGCACATGGCATCGACCTCCAACAGCCACAGCGAGCACACAACCGCACGCCCCACGCGCAGCAAAGCGCGAAAGGGAACGGCAACGAAGCGGGGCGAGTACAAGTGTGGCAAGTGCGGGTTCTTCCCCAAGAAGGCCAAGCACAACTGTGCACTCGAGCGAGCAAAGCGCGCTGCTTCGCAGTCAAAGACCTCACACAAGAAGTATGCAACGTCCACGTTCCAGACACCCACACAGCAGCAGCAGACACAACACGTCCAGCAGCAACAGGTGCAGCAGCAACATCAGATGGTGCACCCCCACCACCAACAGCAGCATCAGATGGTTCAGGGCGCCCCCGCCTTTGCCGTGACCATGGCACCAGGACAGTATGCTAACGTGGTACAGTTGAGTCAACCACCACAGTCGCTTGAAGGCTTCCAGCCTATGTTTACGGGCAACTGGTGATGTTCTCTTTGGGACGGACACTGTGTGTATGTATGCATGTCGATTGCCTGTGCCTTGTGCACTGGCAAGTGTGTGCGTTTGTGGCTGTGCGTGTATTGTGTGATGTATCCTGTTTGTGCACGGTTTTGATGGCTGGAGTTTCATATAATCGAAGGACGATGATGATGATGTGTGTGTGTGTTGCTCTGTCGCTTTCTTCTTTGGATGAGGCCTTGTTGTTTTCCCCGCTGTATCACTCGTCGATGGTGGTGCTTCCGCGCGCGTGTGTGTGTGTATCCTATTCCTACTCGACGCCCTTCCCTTTCCCATGCCTCGCTTGTTTGTAACCGTCGCAAATGCTGGTGGTGGTGGCACTTCTTGTGCCACTTCTTCCGCGCCTCTACCCCCTCCCCCTTTCCCTCCTGTTCTTGCGCTTTCAGCCTTATCGGTTTCCGCGCTTGTGCTCCCCAATTTTGCTGCTTTCCCCCCCCCTGCCCATAACTGCTGTCTTGCTTTGCGTGCAACTGTTGCTTGCAAGCACGGCATGATTGCGCTTTCCCTTCCTTGGCATGCATACTGTGCCAGGTCACCACGTGCCACTTTTGTGTGGTTCCGTGACTGGCACGCAAGCGTGTATGCTTGTTTCATTTGTGTATGTGTGGTGTGTGTGTGTGTGTGTGTTTTCTTGCGCTCCTTGCCGCTGCTTCCTGCTTGGTGGTGGTGGTGGCCTGTCACGTCATGATATTGTGCTGTCTTCTAGCAAGAAATCAAAGGTTAACAGTCATTGCCTCTTACGAGTGGAAGACAACAACGAAGCACAGAGAAAATGAGAGGGACACGTGCACACGACACACGCAACTAAGCATGACAGCCACCGTTGTCGCGGATACCCCGACGTGACACACACACACAACCACCACTGCTTCTGTTCTTTCACTGGCTCCCGCTGATGGGTTGGGTTGTTCATTGGTTTGGATGTTGTCAATTACGATACAACGGCACACATGAGCAAACGAACACAAGCACCACATGAACGAAAAACGAGCACACCTGAGCGCACCTCACCGACATGCTTGAGCATGCACACGACTACAGACAACACTCACAACAGCGCCAAGCAATCGCGCTGTCGCCGCCACCACCACCATTACCACCACCACCATCACCATTACCACCACCGTCAACACTGGCATCACCACCGCTTTGCGTCGTCAACATTGTGCAGCTTTGCCTTCTTGCTTGGCTGGTCCGCTGTTGCGCGCTTTGCTGTTCGCGCCTTTGAGCGCAACTTCTCAACGCTGTTGTCGTCTTTGGCAAACTCAAGGTTCAGGCGACGGCCATAGAGATGGGTGGAGCCAGATAGCGCCTCAAACGCGGACTTGGCTTCCTCCTTGGACGAAAATTCCACAAACGCAAACCTGCGAACCGTGTGGTGTGGGCGGAGTAGAGGTGAGGTGAGAATTGGGTTCAGGTTACTGCACAAAGGGCCATCATGTACTCGAGGGCAGGAACCAGACACACCAACACACACGTGCACACATACTTGCGCATGTGCAAACAAGTGCGTACACACACATTCACACATACACACATACACATATTCGCGTTAATGCGTACGCACACACATTCACACACATGCACACATACACATGTTCGCGTGCATGCGTACGCACACACATTCACACACATGTGCACGTAAACCCGCGTGTGCACGCACCCGCGATGTTGTGTTGGGTCAAAGGACTTTGGTGGGAGCCTGACAGATTTGACGTCGCCATATGGGGTGAACAGCTGGCGAATGTCCTTCTTCGTCGCCTCAAACGCAACGTTGCGGACAACGACCTTGGTTGTTGCGCCTTTGATCAACTTGCCCTGCAGGGTGGAAGCAAAGACCCAAGGTCGCATGTGAGTCGAAAGGCAAGGTGAAGGCACGCCTGATGCGTTTCGGGAGTCAGAAACACAGAACACACTTGGGCAAACAGGGATGACGGATGGGCATTGAATGCTCATGCATGTGCGCATGAGTGCTCGCGCGTGAGAAGCAATGCCACGGAAGCCTGCAAGCAACACCGTTATCTCACCTCTCTGCGGGCGACAGGCCCCTGCTGCTGCTGTGTTCGTGTGGAGAGCTTGAGCTCCAGCTTGTGCCCGTCCAGCTCAGCGCCTTGCAGCTTCTTCATCGCCTTCACGGCCTCCGCATGCCTAATGCGTGTGTGTGTATGTGTGTGTGTGCGTGTGTGCGTGTGTGCGTGTGTGTGTGAATGTGTGTGTGAATGTGTGTGTGTGAATGTGTGTGTGTGAATGTGTGTGTGCGAATGCGTGTGTGCGCGCGCGCGTGTGTGTGTGAATGCGTGTGTGTGTGTGTGTGTGTGTGTGTGTGTGTGTGTGTGTGTGTATGTGTGTGTGTGTGTGTGTGTGTGTGTGTGTGTGTGTGTGTGTGTGTGTGTGTGTGAGGATGTGTGAATGTGTGTGAGGGTGTGTGCGTGAGGGGTGAATGGACGGGACAGCTGACGACAGAGAGCATGTACGTTCACAGCACGCCATGGCAACGTCATCACACGTGGTGGAGTATCAGGCAACAATGCAGCAAGCAATTGCAACATGCAGAGCGAGGCGAAACGCACGTCTTGAACTCCACAAAGCCAAAGCCCATGGACAGCAGCTCCTGCGGGTTGTGGGGATTCTTCTTCGTCGCAACGCGGCAACTCCTGTGCACACACACACACACATACATGAAGGTGATCAGATGGCGTCAAGTTGAAGTTTGAAGTGGAGGCGTCATGGGCGGGGACTCAACGACACGGCCAACATCTGACACGGAGTCAAATCGCACTCACTGAACGAAGGACAACCACAACAACACACATGCAAGCAGGCAACCAAACAAGACCCCCCCCCCTCAAGCACGTGCTGGCAACACCGTTTTTGCTTACCTGATGGTACCGCAGGTCTGGAAGAGATTGTAGAGGGCGTTGTCGCCCGTCTCAAAGTTGAGGTTCTTCACAAACACGGTCGTAGACGCTGTGCTCTCGAGTTCGACAGCAGCCTCACCTTGACCATGCACTGCACACGAACGCACGCATACACACATGGATGGGGGATGGTGAGGTCTTGACAACGCTATTTACAACCAGCGCTGTGCAAGGTAATGTCAAAAACACGACAGAACACGTGCACACACACGCACACTGATTAGATTCACGCATCCCCACCACCTGCTTCTACTTGTGTGCAAATCACCACCGCCACCACCACCACCACCAACGTGAACATCTCACCGCCTCGAATGGCCGCCAGGGAGATCTTTGGGGCCGCAGCCGTTGCCTCGTCCTGCACTTCCTCCTCCTCTTCGGGCACAGCTGTGACACGCAGGGAAGCGAGGGAAGCAACACAGCATGAGAAAAAATGCAAGCAGGTACGAACGCCAACAGAACAAGTGAACACCGCAAGCACAAACGGGTGCCATACGCACATGCACACGCACACGCACGCACACACACACACACACACACACACACACACACACACAAACACACACACACACACACAAACACATATGTATGCAAACGAACCAAAGACGTTCTCTGGCGCCCACTCGAGATAGAGCATCTCGCCCTTGTACTTGCGATAGGCCAGACCCCGGAACGCAGCCCTGCACACGGTGGTGGGGCATGGTGGTGGTGGTGGTGGTGGTGGTGGTGGTGGAAATGGTTGAGTATTGGCAGTGCATGTGGCATCATGTGCTTGATTCGGAGAGCTTGCATTCAAGTGCACGCGAACTTCACACATGCACACATGCCTGCACCCACCTGGCCTCTGATGGCTCGATAAAGGAGACGAGCGCCATTGTTCGTGACGGCGGGAAGACAAACTTGTCAACCGCGCCGTGCTTTTCAAACATGGGCCGCAGGTCTGCCTCAGTCGAGTTGAACGGCAAATTCTTCACCAGAATCACCGTCTTGCTGCGACCCGTCACCTGCAGCAAAACAGGAGTTGTGTTGTGTTGTGCGTGTGTGTGTGTGTGTGTGCGCGCGCGTGTGTGTGTGAGTGTGTGTGAGTGAGTGTGCGTGTGTGTATGTGTGTGTGCGTGTGTGCGTGTGTATGTGTGTCAGCGTTAGAAGCGAGATTACAACCACACGCATCATAGCACAAAGCGCACGTGAACACGATGCAAGAAAGCAAGCACTGTGCGCGTGCACAATCAACAGCATGCTCGTGTCACCGCACCCTGGTGTCGAATGCATCGAGATACACGCCGTGCTGGCGCAGGAACTGCTTGTTGTCCTGGATGATGCGTGTCTCGCCCATGGCCAACCGAACAGCAAGCCCACTGTCGCTCTTCTGCGCGCACGATCGCAACAGGTGGCGATGATGGAGGCGGTGGTGATGAGTGAGTACAACGGCAATTGAAGCCGGCGAAACCTAAAATAATGCAAACAGTTGCACCAGAATACTGTTGTGTGCACATGCAAGTCGTCACCACCACCACCACCACCACCACCACCACCACCACCTCGACGCTAACCGCGTTAAGGAGCTCGCCCTTTGACACGCCGAGCTCAGCAGCCATGCTGTCGGCGACAGCGTCCTGTCGAAGAAACAGCGTGTTCCAGTTGTAGCTGTTCTCTCGCTTGCTCTTTAGCTCTGCCGCTTTTTTCTGTCGCATTGCAATGGCATGGGTGTTTGTTTGTGTTTGTGTTGTGTGTGTGTGTGTGTGTGTGTGTGTGTGTGTGTTTGTGTGTGTTTGTGTGTATGTGTGTGTGTGTGGTGAGCGATTGTGGGAGTGAAAATACAATGCAGGAACAGTGACAGCAGAGTGGCAATTCGAACATGGCAGCCATGTGTACTCCACTCCACTCACACACACGAGCACACACATGAGCACACGCACGAACACACACACACCTCCTTGTAGTTTGTGGTGTCGACGTTGACAATGCCAGAATCGCTGTCGCGCGTGCGTGCAGGCAATAGATGCAGCAATCGGCCCTGGTGTAGACACCGAAACGAGAAACAATCATATGTGACGGGTGAGCGAAATCTTGTACGTAGGGAGGCTACGCATTTCACATGACACAACAACGCAAAACCACACACACACACACACACAGTCGTGATCACATCACGGCACCACCACCACACACTGACCCACCGTGAAACACTCTGGCACACACATGGACAGACACGAAGCAGTATGGCGGGCACCTTGAAGACGCTTGCGTCGAGTTGCGTAAAGGCCTTAACTGCATTCTCCGGATGAAGGAACGTCACAAAGGCGATGCCCTTTGGTTTCTTCGTCTGTGTATCAAGCGGCATGTGCACCTCAGACAGGGGGCCTTCATGGAGGGTCGGCAACATGCACGCACACGCAATGTGAGCCATCACACGGTGTACATGTGTGTGTGCATGTGTGTGTGCATGTGCAAGTGTCGCACAGCTTTGGACACGAGCAAGCACCCATCCCTCGCCATCCTAACGTCTCGCCAACTCACCAAACTTCTCAAAGAGGGCGCGAATATCGTCCTCCGTGCACACATATGCGAGGTTGCGAACGAAGATGCGTCCAGTCTCGTCCAGCCCTTTGTCATCCTCTCCAAGCGGCGCCGGGTACACTTTCGCCTCTCGCCCCTCCTGCACAATATGGTAGCACGGTGGTGTGGTGCAGTGGGGGGTGGAGTGAATGGGAGTGGTGATGTGTGGTGTGGTGTGGTGTGCATACAGGGCGCAGCGTACATGCAATGAAGGCTGTGCGGTTGGTGCATGCTGTGTGCTAACCACACACTCTCTGTGACCTGTGCACAGTGCATATCAGCATTACCCTTCACATCACATCACATCATCAATATCATCATCACCATACGCACCGTTGGCTTCAGTGCCGGCAGTTTCCGCGTCTTGGACGGCAGCACCTCCACAAACCGCGGACCTGTTGACGCAGTGGGCGGTGCAGACACGGACGTGAGGGAAAAGACAAATCGTGGCTGCGGTCGTGTGGATGGTGCACGCAAACGTGGACAGCCATTGTCCACACACGCGCACGCGCACACGCACACGTTTATGCATACAGTGACCTACATACACACCAGCACACTCACGTTAACACACAATGCCAAACCACCACCACCACCACCACCACGCCATCAAAGCAGCAGCAGCAAGCCAGCAGACCCCACCATCATCCTCATCGTACCGAGTGTTTGACGATGCTTCTTCAGCGCAGCCTTGTAGTCGCGCTTGGTTGCAAAGTCGACGAACGCCACGCCCTTGCCCCGCTTTCGCCGGTCAAGCAGAAAGCGAATGTCCACAACAGACAGCGGGGAGAAGAACTCTCGCACTTGCTGCTCGGTGCACCGGAACGGCAGCCCTTGCAACTTGGCGGTGAACACGATAATGGAGTCTCCCTGCTCTGATGCCTCATCTTCCTCGTCGCTGTCGTCACTGAACAACTGCGCTTTTCCGCTCTCACTGCCCTTCTTCTTCTTGTTCTTCTTCTTGCTCTTGGAGGGCTGTGCATCGTCGTTATCACTGCCCTCCTCACCGTCACTGCTGTCGCTGCCGCTGCTGCCATCATCACTGCCATTATCATCATCGCCACCCTCATTGTCCTCCTTCTTCTTTGACTTGATCTTTGACTTGAGCCACTGCAATTCATAAATCGCACACGTGCACACATATCGAGCGTTAGAACGTCACATCACGTGTTGTCGTTGCTCGGTGATATACGTGCATGTGTGTACATGTGAACATGTGTGCACACGCGTGCATGTGTAAGGTTGCGTACATGTGTGCATGGTGCATGTGTGAATACACGTGTCTGTGCTCACCTCTGAATCAGACATGTCTTCATCCTCGTCTTTTTCGTCCTTGTCACCAGCGTCATCATCATCGTCGTCGTCATCATCATCATCGCTGCTCGCTTCGTCGGATGAGTCCTTCTTCGCCACTCCTGCTTGCAAACGCACACACACGAGAACAGGATTTAGGCATGAGCTGCGTGTGTGGTGCATACACACACCCGAAAGGATGTACGAAAATGTGTCCACGCGCGCACACGCACACACGCACACGCACACGCACACGCACACGCACACGCACACGCACACGCACACGCACACGCGCGCAAACATTCGCACCTGGCGCGGTCTGGTATTCCTCGTCATCTGTGTCGTCATCGTCGGAATCCTCAAACTGAAGATGCTGACGCACATATGTCACACCCTGCACGCACACACACACACATACACACATTCACAAGCATGAGCAAGCGAATTCAGTCGTATTTACAACACACACACACAGCGTCCACACCAATACATCACAGCTCACGGTACATCACAGCACCCTTCACACAACAGTCATTGCTAACACCATGCCGGGGCCGTGTGCTCACCTCGCCACCGCGGCGCTTGGACGGCACACTCTGCAGCGTTGCCTTGACCTTCCCTTGCTTCTCCGCATCATCGCCATCGCCACCATCATCACGGTCAGCAATGGGTACGCTCTCGTCACCACCACCACCGCCGCCAGCGGCTGCGCGTTGGCCCTGCCGGCTGCGCGATCCCGTGTTTCCGCCGTCATTCGCCCACACGAGACGCTTGTTCTTCGGCACCATCACCTGGCAGTGGCGAGCAGTTGCATGCAGGCACGGCGATGATGACAGCGCGGTGGGATGGGGGGGTCGGGGTGAGCAAGAGGTGGAAGCAGCAGCAGTAACAGTCGGGGCAGTTGTAGAGGTGTAGCAGCAGATGTGCTGAAGCAGCAGCAGCAGCAACAACATTCAGAGAAGAATACACACACACAGCAGGCGCAGCTGCACAAGGCGGTAGCAGCGGCTCGCACCTGCATGTACTCGTGCAGTTCTGGGTTGAGCTGTGGATTTGCCTCGACGTCGTACAACTTCTTCAGCATGTCCTGCTCCTTCTCAAGCGTTGCAAGCGTCTTGCTCGCCTGTATTTGTGTGCGTGTGTGTGCGTGTGTGTGTGTGCGTATTTGTGTGCGTATTTGTGTGCGTATTTGTGTGCGTGTGTGAGTGTGTGTGTGTGTGTGTGCGTTTGTGTGGAGAATAGGGAGGGCGTGCGAAAAACAAGAAGGGACGCAGCAAAGGCCACTGTGCTGTAGCTTGGTGCTTGTGATAAAGAGACAGCTGCACAGCCGTACAGCTGTACAGCAGCATCAGACGTACGTTTGCTTCCTTCACTTCCTGCTTCTGCTGCTTTTCCTCCTGTGCTTTCTTGCCCTTCTTCTGCCTCAGCACCATCTCCCGCTTCTTCTGCTCCCAGGAACATGCGGGGTATGTGAGCGTGTGCGTGTGTATGCAGGTGTAGGTGTATGTGTGTGCGTGTGTGTGTGCTTGTGCATGAGATAGCCTGGCTGATCTGCACAAAGCAAATCGTGTATTTCAGTCCCCTCTGTCTGGCCTCTTCCTCGCTCGAAGCCCACGGGCACATGCACACATACATGTACACAAACAGGTCATATGCATACATGCATACATGCAGAAGGTCATAAAACATAGATACATAAATACATATGTGGTCATACAACATACATACATACACATATACATATGTGGTCATACACTCATAACATACATGCACACATACACATGCACTGACGGCACGCACGCACCTGCAAGGCTGCGTTTGCAGACGATCCCTTGGAGTACTGGCTCCATGGACGCGGGATGCGCTCATCGCCGACGCCAAAGGCGAGAGACACCTGACCAGCAACACGGAAAACACGGGGCGATAAGAGGTGATGATTGCCAGCACAAACAAGCGTAAGATGGCCACACAAGAGAGGCACATCAGCAGCTGCAGGAGGATGTTATCGGGTACAGCGTGTGACGTGCAATCGCGCACTGTCAGTGCTCAGATCAGCACCGTCCATGCAACGGACACACACAAACACACGCACACAAATGAGCACACACACACACACGCACACATACACACATGTGCACACACATGTGCACACACCTTGATCTGGTCTGTGTCAATGTAAGTCTCGTTGCGATACTCCACGGCTCCCTCGGCCATTTTTTCTTCGGAGTAGCCAACATAGGCGATCCTTCGCTTCGGAAGGTACAAGATCTACAAACGTCCATGTGCATGTGTGTGTGTTTTGTTAGCACGTAACAAAGGCGACAGGTGCGCAGCCACACAACCGTAGACATAGATGCACATGGACATGCGGTAAGGAAGCTGCAGTGCGTCATGATCTTGTGCCCTACTTGGGTGATGTCGCCATGCTCGCCGAAGATGGTGCGAAGGCGAGACTCGTTGAACTTCTTGGGCCTGCGATAAAACGGGTCAATGCAATTCAGCAGCTAAGTTGAACGAAAGACAACAGTGCAGACCGCGGCATCACGCCGCACACACACGCACACACACACGCACACGCACACACACACACGCACACGCACATACACACAAACGCATACCAATGCGCACGCAGCCATACGTACAAGCCCTTTATGATGATGCGTGAAGACGACATGGCTGGCTGTCAGTCTGTCTCCTGCCACGCTGCTGCTGCTTGATGCTTATGGTGTGCTTGCGAACACGTGGGTGGTGGATTTGCAGCGCAAATCAGAAAAATGGTCACAACAGCACAAAATGCAGTGTGTTTTGTGGCTCCAGCCAGTTCACCATTCACACCACGATCCCTCTCACCATCACCATCACCACCATCACCACCACCACCACACTCCCCTCCGTCCACACGTGTGTCAAAAGAGTGCGTTTACTGTTAATGTAACTACATATCAACAAGCAAGTCAAGGAAGGAGGCACCAACACAGGAGACGAGAAAGACAAGAGGGTGGGATGCGAGTATTGCATTGCAGCAGTGCGAGAGTGTGTGTGTGAGTGTGTGCGTCACGTGCGCTGGTGGTGTCGCAGATACGCATTGATGGCCAGAGAACACGCGCCGGCCTGGTGTTGTGGGTAAATGAGGGGAGAAGGGCGTGTGAGCACACGAGCAGCATGCATTAGCACGGGGAAATAGACGTGATTCAAGACACACCCCCCCCCCCCACACACACACACACACACATGTACGTACGAGGGCAATGCCGCAGGAGTCTGCGACGCTGGCGATGGACATGGAGAACTCGCGGTGCTCTGGTTTCGTCCGCTTCGAAATCAGCGCAAACGCGTTCACTGCACGTACACACACGCACGCATACATAGCAGGAGCAGCAGGTGGTGTGTGGGCGGGGAGGGCGAGTGAGACAAGGCAAATACATGCATGTACATGCGTACGTGGCAAACGAGTTGCATTCCTTCACAGTCACGCACGATAGAGATGACACACATGCACGCACACATCCACACAAAAGAGAGAGAGAGAGAGGACATGTAAAGCAACAACAACAACAACAACAACAACAACAACAACTTAAACAACAACAACTTAAACTTAAACAACTTAAACAACAACAACTTAAACAACAACGACCCCTCTTCTCCTTCCTCGCTCGCTGTGAATGTGTGTGTGTGTGTGTGTGTGTGTGTGTGTGTGTGTGTGTGTGTGTGTGTGTTGGATGAGCTGGTGTTGATGGTACCGTATACGAGACCGCCGAGAAGACCCTCGAAGATGATCCAGATGCACGTGAGCCAAATGCCGGGGAAGAAATGCACACGCGCCTCAACAAACAGCACGGCAAAGTTGGCCATCTAGTCACACGTGTGGACATGAACACAAGTGTGTGTGTGTGTACGTGGGTGTGTGTACGTGGGTGTACGTGGGTGTGAGAATGTGAGAATGATATTGAAGTTGTGCGCGACGTGTGCATTCAATGGTGGGGCTTGGACGGACTCACACACACACACACACACACACACACACACACACACACACACACTCTCTCTCTCTCTCTCTCTCTCTCTCTCTCTCTCTCTCTCGCACACTCAAACATTATACAAACACACACACTCACACACTCGCACATCACACAAACACCCACACACGTGCATATCACACCCACACACACGGCTGCGATGTGCTGACCTGAACAACAGCGGGGATCCACACGCTTGAGAGGGCAAAGATCGCAAGACTGCTGCGGGAGAGAAACACACCAATCTGATACAGCAGCTGGTACAGACGGTACTGCGCACTGGTGGCCGTGACATGGTGCGGTGGTGGTGGTGGTGGTGGTGGTGGTGGTGGTGGTGGTGGTGGTTCAGATGTTGTTGCGGCGACGAACACGCATCCCTGCGCAGGTAAGTTTACCACACACGCACGCACACGCACGCACACGCACCACAACCACCGCAACACAGCATAATCACATACGCACACGTGCATATGCCGCGTGTGTCGTACTCTGTTGAGATGTGCTGGTGGGGCCAGAGCATATTCTCGAAGATTCCCTGGTTGATCATGTACTCGGACCAATACACCACAAACAGCGGCAGCATAAACGGAACAACCAGCCGTTTTGTCATCGCAAGCTGTGCGCATGCGTGCGAGAGGGTGTGAGCAAGTGTGTGAGCGAGTGTGTGTGTGTGAATGGACGTACGTGGGTGATTGTGATAACGAGCGTGGCATCGAGTGAGCAACAGGGAGCACCCATAAATGTACATCAAAACATCAGCGATCACCACCACGGACCTTCTGCTTGAAGGTGTACGGATCACCGGTGGGCGTAGCGCCGGCTGGACCAATCAGCGACTTGGGGCGGTGCGTCAGCATCGCAAAGTAGCTGTGGCACACACACACACACACACACACACACACACACACACACACACAGGAAGGTGGGTAGGTTCGCGCACAAATATTCATGCATGATAATGTACAGGAGAGAGGACAAGCACCAAAGTGAAAAGGATGAGAAAGTGGCGGAGGACATTGGCACCGGAGACGTGGACACACGTGATGAGTTGGCAGCGTCGTCATCATCGTTTAAGCAGCACGTTGCACTCACACACTCACACACACACACACACACACACTCTCTCTCTCTCTCTCTGTCTCTCTCTCTCTCTGTCTCTCTCTCTCTCTCTGTCTCTTTCTCTCTCTCTCTCTCTCTCACACACACACACACATACTCTCACCTGATTGCCATGAGGGCGGGGATGCACGTCATGACGAGTTGTGCCTGCGACGGTGACACCACCTCTGTCAGCCCAAGATACGCCAGCGCGCCGACAACACCGGCACCGCCAGTACCGCTCGACCACGCAGAGATGACACTCTGCAGCGGCGTATGCAAGGGGGAACAGCGGCGATGCGTGAGCCCACAGTGCCGCCACTTCTTCTGCTGCAAGACGTCGTGCTCGCAAGCTGCCAGCACCAGTGGTGGCTGCACTTCATGTAGCACGAACGCACACACACACACACACACACACACACACACACACACACACACACAAGCACACACAAGCACACACACAAGCACACACCTTGTGGTAGCAGGCGGTCATGCTGAGAAAGGTAATTTCGCCCAGGCCCGCGCTGATGCTGGCAAACACTACGCCGGCAAGCGCCATGGCCACCGTCGTCGAAAACGCAACCTGTCCAAGTCACAGGAGGATGGTTGTGTGTGTTGTGTGAAATGGGGGGGGTGGCTGGTCGTATTTCTGCGTACATACTCTACACACACACACACACGTACATACACACAGACACACACACACACACACACACACACACACACACACACGTACATACACACACACACACAACGCCACATTTGTACTTCTCTACCTTTCTCTATTCCACCATCTAGCTGTTGATACTCACGAGAAGAAAGCTGACGAGAGCTGCGATGATGCAGGTGACAATGCGGACCGAGTAGGAGAACCGGAACAAGAACATGGGCCCAGTGGACTTGATCAGCAGCGTGGGCAAGATGTCCGCCAGCAGCACGGCCCCCGTCCCCAAATTGGGGTCCAGCTTCTTCAAGATGTCATGCGCACCGCTCAACATAATCACATAACCCTGCCCAAATTGTGTGAGTGTAGAGAGGGAGAGAGTATGTGTGTGTGTGTGCGTTTATGTGTGTGTGTGTATGCGTATGTGTGTCGAGTGCGTGTATACATGTGTGTATGCGTGTGTTTGAGTGGAGCGTGTGCTGAGATGAGGAGCACACTCGCCTTTTCTCAAAACAAGCTCATTTTCACGCACAAACACGCCTCTCTATGTCCCTCCCTCCCTCTTGACGTACAAAGTTGTTTGTGAGGCCGAGAATCCAATAGGCAATCCAGTTGCGCCAACCCCGTCATCATCATCGTCCCCATATCCACCACGCCGCATCTTGCTTCACTTGGTTTGATGGCGATTTGCGAATGATATCCACCACTAATCTCGGGTGACTCGGTCGCACGGCTGCTGCTGCTTTATTTGGATTCGGCGACTTTTTCTTTCCACTCTGAACGATCGACCAAAAAGCTCAGTCGGATCTCGCACCAACACCTGCCCTCCGTGCTGCATTCACGCTGGCTGTCGCACGCCCAGCAAGGACTGTGCTGTCGCTGTTGGTCCAAGTCCACCGGCCTCAACTTAGCATCACCGGAGCGCTCCAACCACTCCAAGCAACAGCAAGAGGACAAGGGCACACGGCACGTTGCCTACAATTACAATCTCGGGTTCCATCGAAAGCGTGGAACTTGGGCAGCACCCTTGACTTGCCCTTGCAACGCCGCCACCAACACCGCTGTTTCTCATCCAGCAGGCCGTGCGCAATGGCGGAGGATGAGCCGGGCGTGAGCCGCCCCGTGCAGATGGGCGACTGGAGGATCAAGCCTCTGCCCATGCAATACACAACGGTGCAGCTGCATCGCACCTTCACCCCAGCACAGATGCAGGTCTTGAAGAAGGGCATCATGCCTCACGAAATGGAGGACAAGTGGTTTGTGTACATGCAAGACAACACGCTCAACTTGCATCGCAGCTGGACAGGCTTCTGCGTGTACCGCGTGCACTTTGTGGAGGAGGACGGGCAGTACCGCATGCTCTCTGCCGACGTGAACCGAAACCCGGACGAGTACCTCAACGTCGACGACCAGCACGACATTGAGATGATCTCCTTCCTCATCGACGCCCTCTTCCACCTCGGCCACGCCAATTACCCGGACGTCCCAGCCGTGCACGCCAACAGGCAAAAACAAGAGTAGAAGCGAAGCACAAGGTGCTGCTTCGTCTGCGCCCTTTCCCTCCACCTGATGCTCTCGATCTCCGCTGCAGCTGGCCTTTTTCGTATACGACACCATAAATTGTTCTTGACAACACTCACAAAGAAGCAGAAGTCGCGGCTGTGTGCTTTGATGTGAGACGATGGTGGGGATGGTGAAGGGTCCAACACCGCCTACGACGCCTAGCTCGCGAGCGTCGTCGGCACGCGTGAGCACAAAGTCGCGCTTGAAGCGCCGGCTGACACAGAAGCGGCTTGAG